ATGGCTACTGAAAATGAAACTGGTGCCACTTCGTTGCGTATCCTACAGTTCGTCATTGCCCGGTATGTTGACGAGAACTTACAAAAAAATGCCCCCTAAGAAAATAGAGCCAAAAACTCACTGTTCCTGCGGTTACAGCACATCGTAACAGAATGTACCCATGAATAAGCTCAGCAAGTCCAGGGTCAACCGAGGTCAATTCTGGAGTAAGGCATACTTGAAAAACAAGTTGGCTGAGAAACATTCTGACAAACTGATGCACACCTTTAGGAGAATTGAAGCAGCAAGCATAATAACGTGTTGACGTTTTCTACCATAGCATTAGTTGTTAGTATATCCTCTCCTTCCTCCACACCCATGAGCCGATCCGCTAATTCCAGCTCAATAAGTTTTTGTAGTCGGTCTTCCTGGCCACATAGGCTTGCTCGAGTCCATAGCAGAACGGCGAAATCATCCTTCTGGAAAGTTAGAGGTAATGCAATGCTATTGAAAATTATTCCGTTGTACGTGAAAGAGTCGTTTCGGCACCTCTGCAGCCAGTCGAGCAGTAAGGGTTGTCTTTGGGATTCTATCTCGGTGACCTCAGGCACCAATTTCAAGGGATCAACACGAACTAGTGGCCGAAAACCACACCAATCTATTTTCTATAGTAGCTGCCGTCGGGTGCGAGCACTCGGTAAAGTAAAGATGATGTATTCTGGCTTCATCTTCACTCCTTACGATTTACCACTACAGCGACGCATAACGTTCTCGAAAGAAGCGCTGAAGAGGGATGGTGTACCCTTGCCGAACCCCGTCCTTCAATGCAATGAAGATTTCCTCATCAAATGGTGAGATCCTCCTTGTAAAGCTGCTGTACAGCTCACGAAGAACTTCTTTGTGCTGAGTAAGTACACAATGGTTGGACATTTCATATCGTCACAATATCAATAGTACCACAGTACTTAACTTCATAGCGCTACTCAGAAAAGATCGGATAACTGTATTGTAGGACGGTTTTGCCCTTAGAGGTTAGGGGAGCAGTAATTACGTCGGTGGCTCAACACTCTCATGATTGTGCTCTTTCCACACTTTGGAAAACCTGTAAAACGAGTGCAAACGCGGACCGATGTTATTGGTTGGAAGCCCAAGAAACACGTTATTTTGAGATCTTGAAGGTCCCAATTGACTGAATGAGAACACTCTTCGTTCTCGTTGGGTTGAAACTAAAGTAATATTACCATGCCAAGGGTAGCGCTCGGGATTCCTCCATAAAGCGACTAACAAGCAAGTTAATTTTGTATGTCAGTTCGTACCTGAAAGTCCCTCTGACACTCCAGCGCGAGTTTATCATATCAAGTGGATCCATTGGTTGACGCAGTAGCTCTTGCGAGCTCTCCATAGCGACAAAACGATCAAAAAGAGAAGGATCTTCGCGAGAAAAGAAAGCAGTGAGAACTCCAATTTCATTAGCTGCTTCACAACTCTGCAAGTAAAGAGCAACATTTGCGTGTTCTAATATTATGGACAGAAACAGTGAGCAACAGTGTAGGAAACTGACCAATTCGAGCGTTTTTGAAAAGAATACAACAAAGTTGCACAAAGTTGTAAGCCTCATGGTAGTGTGCTGAATATGTCGCGTTTTCTGTGCCAGAATGCTGAAGTGACCATAATTCAACCTCTTTAATTACCATACATGAAAGGCGTGATGACTACTCGATTCGTCTTACTCAGTTTACTCACACAATCAAAGGAAAGTCCTCTGAACAAAGGCAGCGAGGTGGAGTCATTTCTCTTAGAGTCTGCGAGACAAAATAGAGAGATGAGGGGCTAGACATCTGACTGACACTTCGCAGAGTCTGCCTTATAAAAGTTCCTGAAATACAGGAGCAACGGTAAATGGGCCAAAATTGATATTGAAACTTTGAGTAAGCACCCTTTACCGGCATCATCTAGTGAGGTGGAAATCCCTTGAAATAAACTTGTTAGAAACTCCATGAATGACTTCAGCTTTTGACGTTCTAGAAGCCGCCAAAAAGGATCATTTGAATCAAGATGCTTCAGAAGTACAGAGAAGAGGAACTAAAAATAATAAAATAAAATAAAATAAAATAAAATATTATCTTTGCATTGTAAAGCGGCACGGAAAAGTCCACTAACTCCAATTCACAAAAAACTCACGTCAAGATCCAAAGCCATAAAACTTGGTTTAACTGCTACCAGCTTCTCTAGTGCCCATAATCGCACCCAACCATTTGAGTGAGCGAGTGCTCTTATAAATAAAACCTTTGCCCATTTAAAAGAAGTGAATGCGAATAAACAGATTGCAGCACGATATCCAATTGGGGTAGCACAGGATTCAGTATGTGAAACTAGAACAAGATTCCTAATCAGTTGTAGCGTTAAAACTTTGACAACAGACAACCCTCGGAGAGTGCGCGAAGGAAAGTATACATATCGATCCGAAGAGTACGCGCTTGCGCGGAATCGGTGGCGAAAACTAAATGTTAACCGCTTGACTCCGGAAAGTAGCGTTTTCGGCGAATGCAGTGGGACTTAGGCTGCATTCATACTTGCGTTAGTGTCCATCAGCGTCCACAGGGCCAGCGACTAGAGAAGCATAGATATCGATATAGCGAACGCTAGCGTCTGCCAGCGTCCACCAGTGTACAGCAGCTTTTTTGCGGTCAGTTTTAAGACAAGATTAAGGTAAGACTTCGATGATTCGTCTACGACAACGGGCGAAACGGATCATCTGTGCTGTGGAGTGTATGCATTTCCCCAATGTTTGTTTTTCTTTGTTTCTAATTGCTCACTATCAAAAGTGCACGGAAACGCTGCTGTACGCTAGATCGACAGCTACACCTCCGTAGTCCGTCGAGACGCTGGCTTTCGCTAGATCGATATCTATACCAGTCACTGGGGCACACTTGAAATGGTAGTGGACGCTGGTGGACGCTGACGCAAGTATGAACGCCGCCTTATAGAAGCGATTAGAGAGCACGGTAAATAGGGTATTCTTCACATTCGCCGGGTAACGACACTAACTGAAAGGGTTTCATGGTCAAGCAGACCGAACAAAACTAATCCCGTTAAATAACGATCCTGCTGGTACCCTAGTTTATGAAAATCACTAACTTGTGGCTCTTCCAAGCACTGAGCTAATGTGAAGAAATTAAACCAGACTGGATTCCCTTGCGTGAGAGTTTTAAGACATGAAATAGCAGCTTTTCGGGCAGATCGGGATGAGTTTGCATCTGAAATAGTTGCCCATACACTATTGTACTTTCGTTTTCATTTCCAAACCTCGATTCTACGACAATTACAAATCCAAGCACCTGTTAATGTGAGCCGAGCCAGATCCATCATCTGTTCTTTCATACCGTTCGGACATCTTTCAGCTAGCAAACACAGCGATGGCAATGCAAGTTCGAGCTCATCTCCACTAAGAGTACCATATAGCCTGGAGAACAGTAAGGTTTAACCCTGGCATATCTCAATGTATATGAAGTAGATTTACGATAAGTGACAAAAAAGGGAACATACGTGATTATGTCGGCAATATCTTCTTCGGTATGCACTTGATTGACAAGTTCTACAAAGTAATTTCTAGTGTATCCGTCCTCCACTATTCCTGGGCCGTGCTCCATTTTGAACCCTACAACTACATAACTGCGACACTTTTTCACCTTGGGGTGGAGAAAAAAAGATTTATAAGTGAGCTGAAGAAGTGGATACACCAAAGGAAAACGACAACAGTAATCGGAAGTTATCAAGTTTATATATCGCAGTAACAATAACTGACAATCTAACAATCAAAGCGATAAATCTACAACAGATCACGCAAAAGAATGAGGACGAACAGGTCTCAAAGGATCGAATAGCTTTGGATCACGAGTATACTTAGGATCTTTTACAAAGATCGGCATGTAGCCAGCTTTCCGGGAAAGCGCTATAGTTTCGACTAGTTTCGCTTGCTGGTGATCACATAGACCCGTTATATGCCGATCGTATATTCGTCCGGAGAAGGTTGACACGAATTGCTAAACATATTTAAATGAAGGAACTGTCAACAGATGGACCCTAGAAAATGGTACCTGCAAAAGACGAGCATTTTTATAGTCTAGTTCAATTCCTGTGCGACAAAGTAAACATTTCCGTTCCTCTTTTTTATATGGATTGCTTTCAATTTCAACCGGTGCATCTGGGTCGGCTTCTGAAAGAGCTTGAGATAATCCAGCACGGCTGTTCGGCAAATCTTAAACGAACCTGATGCTGCTGGTTGGATAGGAGGGTCTACTGATGAACTTGACGAACGCAACGACGCTATGAATGGTTGGGCCGGGACACGCTGCCGTGCTAACCGTATCAAAAACACTGATCGACAGAGCATCTGAAAACCCTACTTGAAGATTTGCACTCAGTGACAACGACAGGAAACTTCTGAAACCCGGAAAAAATGGAAAAATTCAAGGCGTTATTCCAAAACATGGAGCATTTTGGTGCAGTGCACTGAAGGTATTTTAAATCACGACAAATGCGACGCGGGCGAGTGGTTTCGCGTAACACAGGGCACAGCGTTCGATGGGGATTCCCTATGGGGGGGGGTCGTATTTGGCCGCCAAAAGGGGGGGGTCGTATTTGGGCTGGGAAAAATTTATTTTTATAGTTGATTTTTCTCGCTTTGCGGACGTTTTGGAGGGGGGGGGTCGTATTTTATCCCCCCCGACAACTTTTTCGCCGAGTATACATGGTCGGGTCCACGACCTGGATGGGCGTGGCCCGAGATTACGGTATCGCAGGAAGCTGGCGCAAGGCGACTGGAAGACGAGACGACCGCCAGTGGTAGTGAGTACTCACGATGTGACGGTCCACCCCCGACCGTCTTCCACTCCCTTCCTTTCCCCTTTGATGTTATTATGATAAATATGTATAGCCTAAAACTCTTTTGTATTCAAAAACCGCTACACACCTTCAGATACAGGAGTCATGAACCTGTAATCTGATATGGAGGTCCCGGCGAGATCAATTTTTTTGAGTATTACATACTTTTGAAATAACTTTATCTAACAAGAAATTTTTTTCATTAAAAAAATTATATCTCTTTCAAGTAGGTCCCTTCCCCACCCCTACCCAAACCCCTCCCCCTTCGTCTTGATAAGTGCACATATCAGAAGAAGACTTGGGAAGGAATTTTACACTGGACGATCTACTGCTTACAGGTAAGCTTTGCAATTTTTTTTGTTTTGAATATGCATATTGCACAAAAAAATTTAAAATAAAAAAATCAAAATTAGAGGAATGAGGACGCTCTACCTCTTCTTTTGCATGAGTCTAGTTTTTAACTTGTACTTGGAAATGCACATCGTGCATCAAAAAACCAAGCACTCCTCGTTACTACTTGTACTTGGAAATGCACACTATGCATTAAAAAAACCAAGCACTCCCCGTCATAGTTCTACTTGTACTTGGAAATGCACATCGTGCATCAAAAAACCAAGCACTCCTCGTTACTACTTGTACTTGGAAATGCACACTGTGCATTAAAAACACAAGGCACTCCTCGTTATCAGCGACGGGATCCCCTTTCGCGGCCCATTTTGACATTGGTCACATTCGAAATAAACACAGATCCTGTTCATCTTGTAAACCGGAATCGGTATCGGGAAGAGGCGGCGGCAGTAAATTTATCTCAATCACCGTTTGTGCATTCAGTAAATTTGTAGTATGCACCTCGGCAGAAGATCAGACTACTGATACAGTAGTAAAAGCACTGATCAATGATGTTATTTCGAAGCACGGAATCCCTAACGAAATAGTTTCGGATCGTGGTTCGAATTACACTAGCGAGGTGTATGCTAAAATCAACAAAGCACTCGGTATAAAGAATAAATTTACAACTGCTTATAACCATAAGGCTAATGGACAAGCAGAACGACTAGTAAGGTGAATACTGACTCCTTAACAGCATACTGTGCGGAGGCCAGACACCGATGGTCAGATTTTGTCCAGCCTATCGTCTTCGCATATAACTGCAGTATCAATGCGACGACAGGTTACAGCCCGTTCTTCGTCGTTCACGGTAGACATCCAATAACATGGAGTGACATACTCCATGAGCCTCAGCGTCACATCATCGCTTCGGATGACTTCGCTGATCAGTTCGCGGTCGGCTTGAACAACACCATCATAGAAGTTGGAAACCAAATAGCCAAGAAGTCGTCCTTCTACAAAACAGGATACGACTTACTCCACAAGGTATAGCCTTTCCATGGGAGATTTGGTGCTGTTGCATGACGACACAGTTCGTCCGAAACTAACGAACCAATGGAAAGGTCCGTTTAAGGTTGAATCGGTAGATCGACCAAATGTGACCATAAGCAGCCTTGTAGGTCGCCCTATGCGACAAGTAGTACATGTCAACCGCGTAAAGTTGTATGCTCCTCGTTGTTTGTCGGATGATGTTTCCCACCAAAATGCGCAAGCACAACCACCTCCGTCACAGATAAAGGAAAGATCATCTGCCGAACAACAACCTCTAATCCGGCGCTCTCGCCGACTTCAGGAAAGGCAAACACACTTGCCATATCAGCCGGAGTAACAACAGCATAGGTTGTCTGTTTTACTACAAAACAACAATCTTTGGCAAGTTTAATTTCAACATATTTTGGCCGCTCGTCGCGAAATTTTCCCATTCTCTGGGTTGGCGGCTCAAAGAATGATAAGGCAGCTCCTTTCGCTAAATTAAAAACATTAGCTTGTATAACGCCCTTATACTAGTCGAACTCCAACATCTGTTTAGCAAGACTTCCAACATCTGTTTAGCAAGACTAGTATTTGTATCGCTTTTGAGGAAATATGTCATGTGATTTATGTTTTACCAGTCGGATCGCCCGGCTGACGCCGAGCTCTCCTCCTTCTTTTCAGCTCGGCTTCGCCGAGCTGGCCTGGCTTCGCCAGGCGCACGGAAAGGAATTTGTTAATTGCCTGAGCTGCTCATATTGCGCGCTAGTGGTCGAATCATAATAGACAGAGTAACCTAGCGAAATCTGCACCCCTCCTAAAGGCCTGCTGGTTTCGGCCATAACGCCCATTCTATACGTAGATCTTAGAAGTATAAAGGAAGTACAGAATATCAATATGTGTTGCACAGTAGATGAACAAATTCCGTTTTTATTACCTGCATCACAACACCAACGATGGCA